CGAGAACTTCATAAATTGGTCTCGTTGATGCATCTGCTGAGGTGTTGCAGCACATCTGCTGCTGTTTACTGGATACTGACTTCTCTCTCTGTTTCAATTACACTTCTCATTAGAGAGAAACATCCACTATTGACTGGCTTCCTGCTATCATCTGCTGTGTTCACACTCGGCCTCATTAATAATGCATTGCTGCCTATTCCATGACTGATGTGAGAAGTAACACATTAACATTTGACTCGTGGGGAGTAATGGGTCGTATCAGAAAGCCTCTGACACAAGGCGTCTGAGAGTCAGGCTCATTTAAGGACTTACTTACTTCATATACTTCTGTCAACGTTAAGATTTTCCCAATAAGACTATTGTACTTTTACAAATGTAAGAATATAAATGCAGGACTTTGATATGTAATGACGTTTTATAGTGTTAAATGAAAGCCACTTTCATTTGTTTCATCCATAATCATGTTCTGTATGTATGTGTGGGGTAATCTCACCAAAAGCCAAAAGCCCCCCACCCCACACTCTCTGCACTTGACTGACCTAAGACTCAGTGGGAAACTTTGCTACGTATAAATCTAACAAAGGCTTGGCGAAAAGGTTTGAAGGTGTTGATAACATAGTGAAACAAAAGAAGAGGTGAGAAAATAAAGAGGGAAACCCAGAGGTGGTAAGTGAGTGTGGGTAGCAGGTGGATGTTAGCATGGTGTGTGTGTGTGGGGGGGGGGGGGGGGGAGTGAAAGAAACGGACACAAAATTGCATTGAGGAGGACAGGATGAGCGAGGAGGGAGGAGAGTATAGGTGGAGGAGAGTATAGAGGAAGGAGGGAGGCGTGGACACGGTGCCTTCTCTAGCGTGGCAGGGAGCCCGGCAGCTTCTCCTCGGCTTCACTGTGTCTGTGATTACGCACGCAAGGGGCTGAGGCTGTCAGGCTCCCTGTCATGCCACCGTGCCGACTCCGAGCTTTATCTGAAAAATCCTGGTGATTAATGAAGCCGGCGAGGCGTTCTGTATGAGGTGGACGAGGAATCATCAATCTTAATGAGCTATCCTCCGTCCCTATATCAACTTTGGGGGGGGATGTAATGCACTGAGCTGCTGGAGAGGCTCCGCTCCTTTAAAATATGATAACGAGGGGGAGAAAGAAGGAGAGCGGGCAGCTTTCCTCCTCAGATTTAAGACATGTCTGCTGACTGGTGATGTAACTGTAGTGGGAACTACAGAGACCATCGTCCCCAGGCACCCCCATCCTCCTTTGCGCTCGGCTCGCTGCCTCAGTACAGCAAAAATGGCAGACCATGGCGTTATTTGAGGGTGACCATTCTGAAACTGTCGATGCTCCACTGATTGTGTGGAAGCACTTCGGTTTACCTGAATCAACTAATGAGAAAGGAGAAGGTGTTGAACAAACAAAAAAACTATATGCAGACACTGCCAGAACCTACACGTCGGGGAATACGACTAATATGAGAAGCCTTTTGGCAAATCATCACCCCGAAAAAGATTTGAGAAGATGCCAGGGAAAACGCCCAGTCATGAAGTGTAACGCCCAAATTACAACAACGGGTATTAATTAAATATTTCTGATTCTGATTCACTTTTAGAATGAAGTTCAGCTACGTCTGCACACTCTCTGCTGTTTGAAAAAGAGATGTTTGAGTCTCTATTATTAAAATGTAGCTCCCAAATGGACTCATGTGCCAAGGTTACCAATAAGCTCTGCTACCGTGTGTTTTCGTTTGAGAAAGTTAGCTGCACATTGTGAGTCCACATTGAATACATTTCAACCTCATTAATTATTTGCAACATCCGCAGCACTTGTGAATTTCATTTTGGCTTCAACAAGAGCTACCTAGAGCTAAAAATAGAGATAGTGAAATAACACTCGAAAACTCTGTTTACAGTACACTCAATCCATGCACTTGAGTACGTTTCGTCCTTGCGTGCATAAAGTACATGCATCTCTGCCGGTGTGAAGGCGTGTGAGAGAGAAGACAAACGGACCAGTGAATGACATTGAGGTTGGAAGGAAGCGTTAAAATGAATGTTTTACATGACAAGAGAGTCGAGGAGCGGCTTCACATTCTCAGTGCGGCAGCAGGTTGCCCCACAGATCTCACTGTGACCCTTCTATCTAACCAAAGCTAGAGCACATGCAGAGACTGCTATTCATCTTCTCCCTTTTAAACACAACACAGCTACCAACAGTCCTCTATATATATGAATATATAAATAATTGGAGTGGCTGCTTGAGTTTACACCAGTAACCTTTATAAAACAAACAAATGTGGAAATAATTATTTCCATTTAAGATGTGTTCAGCAGTGTTCTGCAGGCTGCTTAAGATGTGCTCGGTAACGTTTGCAGTGAGCTGGCCTGTCCCTAATGAGCTCAGGACGAGCTTCTCCTGGCTGATATTCATCAAGACAGACATCGATTATAATGACTCGCTCAATAGACACACTCTGCTCTCTGCTCTCTGCATCTCTCTCTCCCTCTCTGCGACTCTCTCATGTTTATCCTGTCTTTCTTGCTCTAGCCATGCTGTGTCCTATTATTTGGTTTTTATATTCCTTTTCAAACATCAACTGTTTTCCCCGAGTTTTACAAAAAAGTGCTGACAGCTGTGATTGCTCCAGCTCAGGCCACAGATGTGAAGAGATTACAGTATGTAAGAGTTTGAAAGCTCTCCCAAATTCTGCTTACTTCAGCAAAAAAGGTGACAATAGAAAACTGAGAGGGGAGTGGGACGTGTGAGAGAAATTAACAATTGGTTAGAAGGTTTTAGAGTTTGATTTGTTCACTTTGACAGGCAGCTGTGATGGAAAAAAAAAAAACCTGTTGTGGATGGAGGAAGCAGGAGGTAGAGTAGGCAGTAACTGAAATATGTCAGGAGGTGATGAGGTTAGAGCTGCCATCAAGCTGCTCCGTGTGAATCTTCACACAAACAAACACCACACTATATAATGAAAACAGAAACACAGACAGAGCCCTAGACAGACACACACCCACGCAGAGAGGAGCACACAGTTGTTGGTGCAGAGTGAAGACAAATTGCTCCCTTTGAAGGCAAAACAAATCAAACACAGAGTGTGATTTTTGTCACTGTGCTGTTTGGCTTCAATGCTGACATCTGACAAAAACATCCGTGCAGTCACACCCAAGAAGCTGAGCAGGAGTGAAACACACACACACACACACACACGCACACACAATAAGTGTGTGCAGCTGGATTAAGGTAAAAGAGCTCTATCAGCTTCTCATAAGTCCAGGCATTTGCCTTAAAAAGCCACAATACCTCATCTGCAAATCAGAACCTGCTAGCATTGATACCAAAGACTCTAGCTTTTTTTAAAGCTAAGAACAGGCTATTCTGTCTAAACTCTTTGTTGTATAATTACTTTTGAAATCCCTTCAGTGTGACATGTGACATGACCAGTCTCTGATTATTTAAAAGATCAAAAGAAAAGTCAGCTAATTCTTGATTAGATTGATTCAACTTGAGAATATTTTGGATGTCTTTCAAGATGCTAATTCACCAACAATCCAATCAAAGTATTCCACTTACTTAAGTGGCACAGTGAGAGTTTGAGCACTTAATTGATTCTCCTTTTGGCTTTCACCCCAGAAGCCCCGACTGGTGTCAGACTGAACGAAGAAGTCATGTGGTGTAACGTTTTTTTTTGTCTGCTGTGAGGGGTTTTAAATGCACTCTTTGGGACAGACTGAACCCTGTGTAGAAGCTGCCTTTATGTGCTGCCATGTTTAATGACAGATGTGTGTGTAACCCAAAAACTCTGCCCTAGGATTAGATTTTTTTTAGTCTTTTATCCCAACTTTACGTTTAGAGGGCTGCATAAACTCTGAACTCTGACCTGTAGCTGCTTTCTTATCTCTTCAAAATAAAATATATTTATTTTTCTGTGTGTGAGTAGCATTGAAGAGCTTTACATACATGGGTCTGAATATTAACACTCCCAAATTGTTTCCCTCACTGTATATTACCTTTCTGTGCGTGGACATCGTTAATGGATTACAGCAATCTATTCAAAACAGGAGCAAAGAAGCTTTCATTTGATAAAACTTGAACAAAACTGAAGCTTGTCTCAATATCTATTTCCAATTCTACCTGCAGTCTAATTTCAGTGTTACACAGGCAGCACAAAGCATAATTACTTTTCTGCAACCTTTAAGTTTATTTGCACACATTTTTAATGATCAAAATAATTCAGGAAAGAAAACAATCTGAACTGAAATTAAAAGCTTCATTAATTGTGAAAATTGGTCGGAGGATTGCAAACATCTGTTTCTGGCTCACTGCATCATAAACTCCCCAAGGTTAAACCAAACACCAATTTCTACTTGTAGACTAAGATGTGATTTTCAGCTCTGAAGCACCTTCACAAACACACAGTGATTCAACAAGGATTCAATAGACTGAGAGAGAAAAGTGAGGGCAGAGACTGAAAGCTCACACAACACACTTTTAACCACAGCACAACAGTTACAGACGCTACAGGAGTTTCAGATCAGGCCAACATGTTCTTCCTTCCACCCTACATAAGCAGTATCAGAGAACAGAGGTGGACCCAAAACAACCTCTGAGACCTTGGAGAAGCTTTGAAGTGAATTGGCTCTGGTTGTATTTTAACAACCCCTTGCTTGAGCGTGTGCTCGCTTGTTTACGACTGTTGGCATCTGAAACTGCTCTGGTGCACAGAGAGAAAACAGGAGAGGGGACAGTGTCTTTCATTCCAGCACGAGCTCGCATAAAGAGGGGTCACAAGGAACAGAGAGTTCAGGGTACATTGATTTAATACCTAACAGCTCCCTGGTTTGGATTCACTTCAGAGCCTAGGTTCTCGGCTGAACAGATCTGCTTTGATTCAGCCTTTAAAGGGAGTTGTGAGAGGTTCCATATTTAATGTGAATGAATGTGATTGTAAGAAAACCTAAAAAATCCACTTGTGAGGAGAACATCAGGTGAGCCTATCTGTGCTTACCTTTAGGATGTCCTGGGTCGCTGAACTGGTACTTCCCTATCCCGACTGTCCGCAGCATTTGCAGCCCATTAGTACTGTCATGATTGTCTGCAGCTGAGGGTGGAGCATGTGCTGCTGCTGCTGCTGCTGCTGCCTGTCCATTTGTCAAAGGTAGGGCAGGGGGCTGGATGAGCCTGGGGTGAGATGACAAGTGCCCGTTGCCATTCACGGTGTGATGGTTTGGATGCACCTGGTTGGCACGGGCAGTTAGGATGGACGGTACAACTGTGGGCTGAGCAGAAGGGAAAGGAGACTGACTGGGCATGGTCAGAACCATAGAGGGTGGCTGCTGGGTGGAGTTTGGCGTCAGCTGGAAGTGGGCAGTCATGAGAGGGTGCTGGGGTGGAAAAGGTGTCTGGATGGATGGGGTTACTCCGACGACGGGTGACTGTACGGTCACGTTGTGGCTGAAGGAGGGCGGCTGAGGGAGGGTGTAGGTGTGAGGCAAGAGGCTGGGCTGGCTCACTACTGCGACTGGTGCAGACCAGGTCGGACCTACAGAAGAAGAAAAAAAGACAGAGGAGCAAAAGGAGATAAATCATCTGCATCAAAAGCTTTTACAATATAAAAGAGGTGGTTAAGTTCTAGATGGAATTATTGCATTGGAGACTCAAGCAAGTTCAAAACAAGCCTTGATTGCTGACATAAGATGTTTAAATTAAGACAGAGAATGAAATGAGAAGATAGATTCCAGCTTCCTCTCCACACTACAACTGTCCGTTTTACAACTGTCCTTCTTATCAAACACAAAATACTTGAAGCGATGTACAAACCTCCATCCAATGTCACCATTATACAGACCTACATCCAATTTAAACACTATAAAAAGATTAAGAGATTTATCTTTGCTAAAGTTGAACAAATGCTTTTCTGAATATGAAAGCATACATGCTGCAGCTGACATTATTATTTGTGCAGGAGTCTGTGTTTACTCAGACACTTGGAGCCAACCATTTCTCTACCCTGAGGTATAAGATGCTGAAGCTGTGCTGGTTAAGACAAAGCTCTATTGGGCCCATGTGCCGCCTCCCTCATCTACTCAGCCTCTCATACTCCCTCATCTCTAGCTCTCCCTGCCAGGGTCCAAGCTCCAAAAATAGCTTGCCAGTCTTCCAAGGGGCAAAAAGCCAAATCACAGCGTGCAAAAAGCTACAAAAGAGAAAGAAAAAGCCCACATTATTTGTGTCACTAGATCTGCTGGTATAATAGTCCAGGCAGAGACGGGTGGCAGGGGAGTGAGACAAAAAAGGACAGTGAGAAAAAAAAGGAACAAAAGAATCCTGAGAAGAATCCAGATCTTTTTTTAATCACTTGTCATTGAGCTGTCTGTACCCACTCTGTTATATGTGCTTGTCCTTCACTTTTTCTCTTTTTGCAGAAAAGCCGACTTAAGAGTTCAGTTTGCAGAACGTCTCTTCTCCTGCTGTCAGAGAGGCACGACAAACTATAGATTTCAGGAAAGCAACTGGGGCAGATCACCTGGATCCTTGCTTTTTAAAGCTCTGTGCCCTATTGACTTCTGAACAAATTACATGTGTATTTAATCTGTGTATTGGTACTGGGGTTTGCCCTCAGTTCTGGAAGAGCGTGCATGTAGTCCCACTATATAAAGGTAGTGATAAAACTGATGCGAACAACTATCGACCTATTTTTCCTGTTATGTCTTGCCGATTTCGGGAATCAATAGTTAATAATCAGATTACATTTTTCCTCTTAAACAATCATGTCTTAAATCAGCATCAATCTGAGTACTGGGTACAGAGCTAATCATAGCACTGTCACTGCGATTACCTCTATTAGAAATGACATAATTTCTGATCTTGACAAAAAGAAATATTGTGCTGTGCGGTTCGTAGATTTACCAAAATTATTTGTCATACTGTTGAGCACACTTTGGTCCTTCTGAGGCCAAGTAAGGTTGGTTTTGATTCAGTATCATGGGAGTGGTTCCAGGACTACCTGTCACAGAGACACCAGCGTGTGGTTTTAGATAATAATAGTTCTGTGTTTCTGCCATTGTCAAACGGGGTTCCACAAGGTTCAATATGGGGTCCTATTTTATTTACAATTTACGTTAACAATATTACTTTACATTACCATCATTGGTAAAATATTTTGGTAAAAAAATGACTTCCTTGTAAAACCAGTCTCGTAGTCAACATTCAACACGTTCCAGTAAATGGCTGAAACGTGAAGTTCCAGGGGCAAACACCTAATTTGGTAAAACTGCTAGCGTCTCTGCTGCATTCACATGAAACACATTGCAACAGCCCTTCAAACTTCACGACTTGTTCCTGTGGGTCACTTCAAAACTATGATTTTAAACAACTCTGTCTTTAAATTGAACTGTTTTTAATTGTCTTGTTGCCATTATTTACATTTATTGTTTGTGCATATGAACTCTGTTTTGTTGTACTCTCGACATCATCAAAAATGAGAGCATGCCCTCAATGATTCTTGAGATTAAAATAAAGGTTGAATGAATGCATATAGAGTTTATAAGGAATTAATTTCATTGTCATGACAACATTTGAAAAGAGAGTTAAAATTAAACACATATCTGTATTAACATAATATGTATTTAAATATTGTGTCTGCCATCTTGTTTCTCAGAAATAAGAGTTTCAGAAGTGCCACATTCCCTTTTACAAAACTCTACTTGTTTCAAATAATTTGTTTCCATTTGGCTAAGCTCTTAAGCCTGGCATCAAACACAAGTCATTTTTCAAAAGATAAACTTTGGTTGAAACAAAGTTATTTTTCAAAGACAAACTTTCTTGAAAGTACTCAGCAGTGAAGTTTCTGTTGAAAGAAAGTGTTGATTAATTCGGGCACAGTAAGCCGAGAACCTTCTGGAAACACAGTTCAGTGAAGTGTGGACATGAGCTACTTCATTGCAAATGCAAGTCACAGTTTGGAATAACGCATACACGCAAATCAATTTTCAACACTATGCTGGGATTCTGAGTGTCATATGTGCCAGTGTGCTTGGATGGTGGCATCACACTCTCCCAACACTGCACTCTGAGCTGCAGGATGGGGAGTAAGAGGATGGGAGAAGGAAGTGAAGCCTTAAGCCTGATTTATACTTCTCTTTCAAATCGCTGTAGCACGCAATAGATACGCCTACACAGAAGCCTATATACTGTACATAGCCTGACATGCACCTCCTCAAAAATGTAACTACTTGTCTAAACAACACGAGATAACAAGCCCAATTATGACAAGAAGATAAATATATGTTCTTTGTATCAAGAACTTCTGTGTGTCAATATTCATCTTCTCCAATTCCAACATAATATCCTCGATTTCAGTCACAACGGTTTCCTGTACACACACAGGCAGAGAATGTGGCGGAACCAGAAATTGCTGATAAAACCAATATAGAAATCGTAGTGCCAGCTAGTGTTTGTATGCGAAGAATTGCAGAGCTACGTAAACACTCACAAGAATGCAGTGCTTGCAACAGGGTAGGTCACTACGGCGTAGATTTCGTCGCAGAAGTATGAACAAGGCTTTACACACAATAATCAAAACTCTGGAGCTTATTTTCCAATTCAGCCAGACACTCAATAAACAGTAGGAGACTGTGGACACTCAGCAGGTGGGAGTAGAATCACAAGTCAAAACTAAAAACCCTATAGTAACGGCATCCTTCCATCATAAAATCACAAATATTTCTCCTGGTAACTTTTTAAATATCTATACTGAAACCGCTCCATATGTTCCAGTGTGCTTATTTGTAAAAGATGTATTTTGGGCTTTTTATGCCTTTATTTGAAAGACAGGACAGTGAATAGAGTCTGAAATCAGGGAGAGCGAGAGTGAGGAATGACATGTTCGAAAGGAGCCACGGGGCGGACTCGAACCTAGGCCGCCCACTTTGAGGACAATAGCCTCTGTACACGGGCTGTACGAAACAAAGCAACAGGCCACCAGCGCCCCCAGTGGTGTGAATTATAATTAAGATTTGAGTTGAACAGGAAGCAGCAGGACCTCAAAACGTTGTTTTGAACATGATGTTTTGCTAATAGAGTAGCAGCTGTCTGCAGTCTTGATTTATTGAGCTGGAGTTTCTGCTGGCACAAGCTGGGTGTCAGTATTATTCTTAAATGAGACACGTTTGTGAGGAGCAGGAGGAAGAGATCAGCAGAGCAATGGAGGGAAATTAACTGCTGTAGCGCAGAGCCATTCTGGGTGAGTTCATTAAAATGAGGAAAAAAAACTACGACATTGGCTGAACCCCTCAGTGTGCTGCAGAGACAATTTTGCTCTTTTGAAAGGGGCATAAACAGAATGACGTTGATATCGAAATTAGACCTGTTCGAGGTTAGTTTAAGGACTACCAGAGTTTGAAAGATAGGTTTAATTCAGCTCCAGTTAGTGGCAAAAACAATAAAGACTAAGTGGGGACTAAATTGCTCGTGAAAGGGGCATTTGGAATGATATACTGGTATTACTTGCTTATTTAAAGTCTTGATGTGTCAGTGTTTCCCCTAGGTTTACAGCGTTGGGGGGGGGGGACAAACCGACATGCCGACACGGCGACACAACGACACAAGCACTTGAAAGAATCTTGGTGTTCATGTGTTACTTTTAATGACGGCTGTCCTTTTCTATTGGATAGTGTATCCTTAAATGACTTCTTTCCCTGATTTCCGACTCTATCCACTATCTTATCCCTACAATAAAGGCACAAAAAGCTCAATTTTTTTTATTTTTTTTACTTGACCTTCAGGGGGTGGGGGGGTGTTCCGCCCCCCCAATATAATGGTAGGGGAAACACTGTGTGTTAATGACCTTTCTGTAATTTTCTGCATAATTTATCTTATTTATTTAAAGATGCTGTTTGTAGATATTAATTATGCATGGTTGTGTATGTACAGTATGCATGTTGTGAAGGAAAGTATGTATTTTATGTAGGCCAAGTCAGCCAAGACGTCTCATTAGCATTTGATATTAGTTTTACCGGTCAGCGCTGCCTGGAGTGTGTGTTTGCATGTGTGTGTTGTGTACACTGATCTGCTGTGTGCAAGCATAGCGATGATGTAAAATTTACATCACTGTAAACTCGCATCAGGAGGAATACATGAATGTGTCTGTCAGTGTATCCATGTGTGTGTATGTAAATGCTGTGTGTGTGTGTGTGTGTGTGTGTGTGTGTGTGTGTGTGTGTGTGTGTGTGTGTGTGTGTGTGTGTGTGTGTGTGTGTGTGTAAGATCCATTACCGCTGGGTTCGTTGTCTCGATGCTGCTTGGCAGGCGGCTCATCTGTATCCCAAGGTGTGAGCTGGTTAATGGGCGTCTGTCCCCACCTCACCCCTGGAGCCAGCAGCAGTCCTGGACTCTGATTTTCCCCAGGAGACACACCTGAGACCTGCAGGCCATGACAAAAAAAAAAAAAAAAAAAAAAAAACTGATTACAGATTGGCAAGTGTAAAAACATTCTGAACAAGAGTACAATAAAGAGAGTAAATCAGGGGGTTGGCAACCCGTGGCTCAGGAGCCACATGTGCCTCTTCTGCTTCTCACTTTTTGACATTTTATTTTTCATTTAATAAAGTTGTTTCAAACTTTTTTTTTTACATAACTATAAAAACATGCAGCCTTTTCATTGAGTAACTTTGATTATTATTGTTTCGGCTGTATGTTGTTCCCTGTGTGTTTACATTTTTTCTCAACTTAAATGCGCGCCATATCCTGCGTCTACGTTGCGGACAAAAGCATTACATAGTAAAACACTGACTACACATTTAAATCTATCAGTAATGTTGATAGAGTAACACAGTTTCATGACCTTCATTGTAAGATTCAAATATGTTTTGCAGCTCCAACCCTTTTTTTCTTGGGAGGTTGGGAATGTACAATTTTGACCAAAATGATGATCAAGAACATTTGTATCATAATCATGATTGTTTTTTCATGTAAGGGACAACTATTAGATAAAACACATTTATCTTGCCACTCATCTATATTAAAAAATCTGCCCTGGCATTTTGGACCACACCGGTACCTTACAATTGGCAGCTTCCCCCCTACGTATATAAAATGTAAGTAATCAGCGTCAATCGTGTTTCTTTCATTGTGGGAAGGCCAAAATCCTGTTCGTGATTAATATTCAATGAATTTAGTAGCTTTAGAGGAGATGAGGGCAAAAATGGCTATTTTGAAAGTAAGGGTTGTGACCCCTGGAGTAAAAAAAGAAAGAAGCTATTTGCAGGGCTAAGAGAATTGAAAAATATGATTTCATATGGAAATGAATGGAAAATGAAAGCTATGTGACAATGTGTACGTGGAGGTAAAGCCAATGTGACTTTGTTAAACCTTTGCACCACATCTAATATTTTACTCTGCAGGGTGGTATGAAGTGATACCAGGAGAGCCCAGGCTGATGAAAAAAGAGGTCAGGGGGACAAGGTCACCATTGGACCTTTGAGCAATATACTCCTCTCCCTCTTCTCAGTTTGGACACTTTAGTCTAACAAGCCTCCTCTCCAAAGATCATAAGTATAGACCTGTTCACCAGGCTCCTCCTGGTTTATCCCTCCATCCCTCAGTTGTTCCATTATCCTCCCTGACCTGAGCTCCCATCATGCATCACAGCAACTGTGTCGACATAACACAACAGGGTGCTGGTTCAATGCAAGAGGATAAAAATACAACTTGGCTAATTCACATTGAATGAACATGCAGATTCCCATATTGGATTTATCACATTTCAGGAAGTCAGCGTCCCTGCTTTCTCATGGATGAATCACAGCTTTACAGAGTCGTCAACACTAACACACCTTACATGGTATTTAGTTTGCAATAATAATTTTCTGTTAATTTACTTCTTTTGATCTTTAGATTGCTTCATGCTAACATTACTGCAGCACAACGTCTGCTCTGTGATAAACAACTTCTCAGTCACAGACATGTTCACTGAGTGTCACTTACTTGATAAATCTATACTGAAAGTTATCTGACAGTTTGTAAGCTATGGGGCAAAATAAAATAAAAAACAGTGAAGGGAAACATCCCAAGGCAAAGTAGTGATGGAGTGAGAGCGTGAAGCTGGGTGGAGGGGCGAGACAGGCTGTCAGCTCTTTTAGTCCAGCTCCAGCAGTTGACTGTCAACAAGAGAAAACTCAGAAAGTCCTCAGAGCTCAATTCCACCTGAGAGGACTGGAGACTCTGGGAGAAACAAATTCAGAGCGTTGTTAAGGTGAGGCTTTTTTATAGCCCGCCATTTGTTTTAAGGAGCGTTTTCCCACCTCAGCTCTGTGAGCTTTACTGTATTCCTCTCCAGCCATGCTTCACTTTCTCCTCTGTACAGACAACTCCTCATCAACTCACAGCTATGTAATAAAATTAGTACTCTCAACATTTAACCGAAACAGACACAAAAATGGGAAAAATCTATTTTTCTGAACACAATCCATCTGTCAAGGTAATTACTCAGCTCACACTGACAGCACATCAGCAAGGCTAAGGAACAGTCCTGACAAAAAATTATCAATGTAAGGCAGAAAATACATACATAGATACATATACAGTGGAAACACAAGTGTGTATGCACACACACACACAGCAGCCAGGAGATATGAGACAGGATGCTTATTAAGATGTCAAACTTGCAGCATGTAGGCAGGAAGGTGTTTCAGGTTCTGGGACAGCGCCTGACATTTTCTCCCCATTTTACTTGCTCTGCTCATTTCCAGCTCCCTCCTAACAGGTCGCAACATTATCACAAGGCAGCAGATGGTTTCCCTGACTCGACAAAAACGGAGCTGAAGAAGAGGAGTGGAGCCAGAGAAATGATTTCTGAGCAGAGCCTAATGAATTTGTTGTCAAGCTGGCTGGGGAAAGGGTTTTTTTTTTTTTTTGCACTGAAAGCAACGGCCATGTATATGGACCTTATAGGGGGTTTGTTTGGCACACACACACGCAGGCCACACTCACACACAAAGATGCAATATTGTTTGAGGAAACATGCAAACCTTAATCTGCAAATTTGTTCACTAAGGAGTCATTCGTCTTTGTCAGATGGACGTTATCCATTCTTCTAGTATTTCATTAACTGCAGGTATAGGAAATGCCTGATACTTGTTCCCATGCATAATCAGAATCAGAAATACTTTATTAATCCCTGAGGGAAATTTGGTCGTTGCAGTTGCTCTTACAGACAATATAGCGGTAGAAATATATTCAGTAGAAATAACTACAGTCAAAATATGAATGATATCGGAATGTAAGTCAGATATAAAGCAATAAGTACGAGAAATAGTTACAAGAATAGAAGTAAAAATTAGAAGACAGCGAAGTACCAAGCGCATCTTCCGAAGAAATTAGCTTGTGCTGTACAAAAGCGCAGAGAGTGAGGACAATACAGAATTGTATTTTTTCCCCAATGACTATTGCTAATTCTATTCCAGTTTTCCTTCCAATGCTAGGTCTGATATCTAGACTTGAGAGATGTTATCAAAGACCTCTTTGCAATATAAAAATACATTTATAAGGACAAAAACATTGATTGCTGACATTAAGCTTTAACTTTCTCTTTGCATAGCGCTCGGCCTCTTACAGCACCACGCTAGGCCTGTATGATTTGGCCAATTTGATAATTATTTTGATCAATATCGAAAATTCTGTAATTAATCACGATTCATTTATCATTTTAATTTTTTTTAAGAATATAAATATCCTGGTATTACTCACCTATTACCAGGGACCACAAATGTGCACTGATCATTTTGGCTCACACTGGCCTGCTTATAATTGAACATGACCCAGCAGCAGCCCAGCCATAAAAATGTACAGCAGTAAAATGTATCAACCACATTAATGCATCAGTATATGCAATACTGTGTACTATTATATACATATATTTAATACAGATATACATCTAATAATATGAAAACACAAGACCATTTAGTGCAGCAGTGAAATGCAAGGCTTTTACTTTTAGAGTCAAGTATTTTCACATGTAGTATCGATAAGTCAATTATCTGAACCTGAATACACTTTGTCACAATACAGTTACAGATATGACCTATTATTCGTCTTCTAGCCTTCATCTTTAAAACATAAAGACCTATGTTCGCTGTTGGCTCATCAATGCTGCAGTTTATTACTCCGTGAGTTATGAACAACACGCCTTGTCAAACACACGGATCACCTGCTGTCTTCCTTGCAAGTGAGGATTTTTAAAGCAGTATACAGCCAAAGAGGCAGGACGAGGGAAGCTGTGTGTGTGAGTGTGTGTGTGTGTGTGTGTGCTTGAGTTGAAAACAAGTGAAGGAAGGATGATTATATACTAATACAAGTTGGAGGATATACATAGAGAACATTGACCGGAAATGATATTATGTAAAAGAAAAAATGTAAGGATTTGGTTTAATACCTTACAGTTGGTCAAACATTAGACATCAAATTGAAGTATGGTTGTCCATTGATACACAAACATATACAGTAACACACAAATGCAAGCACACACCAGCTACACACAACTCCCCTCTTCTCAAAACCTCTGAGCGTTTCAGAAATGTCAGACTCAGTGTATTGAAGAGAGGGACACTAAATCAACATGCATCAGGATTAAATATAAACTCGTCCTTCTGTGTTCTGTTTAATGGAGAGACAGCAGTTTTATTTTGGCCGATGAATCAGCCATTTCCTCAGACATGGCAAACACTGACATCTGTCCACAACATCCACATCCAAATAAAACAGAACCGGTTTGTTCACTGCTTTGTCTTTGCCAGCCCTCGTCTCTGTATTGAACCAGTAACACCATATAATAAAGCCCCGTTTCCATAAAGTGGTCTGGTTTGGTTCAGTACAGTTTGGTACAGTAATCCCTGATCTTGCTTGCGTTTCCACAGCCTCCACAGTAAATAAAAATCAATGATTCCGAGGAAGGTCTGCATCTCCGAGGCAAAAAAAACAAAAACCGGCCTTGAAATGACTCTCTCCAAATCCGCAGGATATTTAAACATGCGTTTTGTGTTTGTCCTTTATTACCACTGACACACGGGAAGTGAAGATTATTCAACAGACAGCAATGTGTCTAGCTCCAACCTTTAGGGTTGGATCAGTACGATTGGCACCTGAACAGAAAGGTACCAAAAAAGTAGGACTGTACTGATCAGTCATTTTGGTACCCTTCCCAAATTTTGACAGAGGAAACGCCAATAAATGTGGACCGTACCGAATCAGATTGAACCGGACTGCTTGGTGGAAACGGGGCAGAGGAGGACACAGAGACTCTGCAGACACCTACAATCTGCATAAGCTCTTTGTAGCTTTTGTAGTTGTGTTATGGACCAGTGTTCACTTCATAAGCCTCAACAATATTTCCATCCGTTATTTTCCCCGATAAATTACTTTACTGCT